GTTGCAAAATAATTAATAACTTAATTAGTAATTGTATATATTATTATATTAAATTTTTAATTTTTAAATTTGATTAATTGATGATTTACTAGTCAACCAAAGAGTGATCATAGTGAAATATAACTCAAATTACTTATAAAAATTAGGAGTTTTCAAATATGGCATACGCATATTTAAAACTTTTTTTTATACTAAGTTAATTATCTTTTACTATGTAAACTTCTTTACAAACAATAGTATTGTTTGCAAAGAAGTTTACATAGTAAAAGAAATGTTTTTTAAAGATATCTCAGCACCTACCAGGCCGATTTTAATGTTTTATTCACTATTAGATATGCCTTGACAAGCTTTATAAAAGTTTTTTAAATTAGAAAGATGATTAACTTAGTATAAAAAAGGTTTTAGATACATGCATACCACATTTGAAGACTCCTAATTTTTATAAGTAATTTGAGTTACATTTTACTATAATTACTCTTTGGTTGTCTAGTAGATCACCAATTAAACTTAAATAATGATATATCTTCTAGTAATACTGTATTATCAGAAAAATGTTAAAAGCAACTTAACCATAAGTGCCAAAAATGGTTTAGAGATAAGAATAAAAAAACTACTTTATACTTATTTGATAATGTTTCTAAAGAAGTTCCTATAGTTGTAGTTAAAGCTACTAAAACTTCTGCTATAAATACTGATTCTGGTTTTGATTCTGATGATCTCTCACCTTTATCTAATACTGAAGTTTCTACAATTACTAATCTTGAGTTTATTAATACTCGAAATAATTAAACTCCTCACCATGATAAAACTAAACATCATAATATAGATAGAATAGATCAGACCTGTTAATGATTAAAAAAGATCAAAATAGTGAATATACTGCTCCAAAATTTCCTCTTTGTTGTGCTAATAACAAAATGCAATTACTACTTTTACTTAAACCTCTATCTTATTTACTAAATCTTTATACTTCAACTAATCCTGATGCAGTTAAGTTTCATAAACATGCTAGAGATCATAATAGTATATTGGCTTGCACATCTTTTGGTACTAATATAAATAGCCAATTTTTAAAACATGGTATAGCAAATTTTTAAATTCATGGCCAAGTCTATCATCTAATTGGATCATTATTATCAAATGAAGGTTACATACTAGCATTTGCTCAACTATATATTTATAATACTGCAAATGAAATTACAAATTGTCAAAATGCAATGCACAAATTAAATAAAAATATTTTACAGAGTTTACAAAATATGCTGGATATCTGCAACCTATATATTCAAAATTTTTAGCAAGTAAGAGATATTATACATAATAATGTAACTACTGAAATTTCAATAATAATTCATGATAATAGAAATCAAGATATTTGTCATTATAATGCTTTAACAACTCCTGACGTAGCTGCAATAATGGTAAGTGATAGACATGAGATAAATCCAACAAGTTGAGATATTCTTTTTAGAACATATGATTAAAATTTGCAGTAAATAGCAGAGTTTCATCCTTTATATAACTCACTTTATTATGTATTATTATTTTCTAAAAATGATGATGGATAGTATATAAATATATCACTTATAAATGCTTTAAAAAGAGAATGAATAACAGCTATGCAATTTTACTTTTATAGATTGCAAATTAGAGATGGTGATTGGATACAGTATGCTGGCTATTTATATCAACAGTATATTGTTGATTAGTATGCTAAAATGGAACAAAATTGTTTAATTTACTTTAAGCATAATCAAAAATCTCTTCATGCTGAATTTTATCAAAGTATTATAGATGCAGTACATGCTAGAGATTGCAGTAATACTGTTGGTCTTCATATAATCCTTTTATCATTTTTTACACACAATAACAATTATTACTCATTTTGAAAAACTAGATCTTTTTGTTATATTTATATATAATCCTAAATGGCCAGAAGTTACTAGAGAATTATTATCTTATCAAAATGCTATTGATAGACCTGATTTAGCAGCCCATGTTTTTCATATAAAATTACAAGCACTATTAAAAGATTTGTATAATAATCATTGGCTTGATAAAGTTATTACATATGTATATGTAGTAGAGTTTTAAAAACATGGTCTTTCTCATACACATATTTTATTAATTCTTGCTTTAGGTGACAAATTACAAACTACAAAAGATTATAACTCCATTGTTTTTGCTAAACTCCCTGATATTTGTACATATCCTCTTGTCTATGAGACAGTAACAACTATAATAATATATAGTTTATGTGGTTTATTAAAACCTGACGTACCATGTATAAAGAATAGTGTTTGTACAAAACATTATTCTAAAACTTTTCAAGAGCGTACCTTGGAAAGTAATAGTAGATATTCTATTTATCACAAACGAGACAATGTATGCTTTGTTAAAAATGAAATCCTATTAGACAATATATAAGTTGAGTGTCAAATTATATACAAAATACAATGCTCATATTAATGTAGAAATTTGCAGTTCTATAACAGCTATTAAATATCTATATAAATATATATATAAAAAGCATAATCGAGTAACTATTACATTTGCTCATTCCAACCAAGCCAATAATTAACAACTTTTACCTGAAATTGTTCAAATTGATGAAATCAAAATATATTTAAATGCAAAATATGTTTTAGCTTCAGAAAGTATCTGGAGAATTTTCATTATAAATTGTATAACTGTAATTCAAAAGTATGAAAGCTTGCTATTTATCTTTCTAAACATTATTATGTTATATTTCAAGATGAAGAAAATCTTCAGGAGGTTACTAATTATACTAAAAATTGTATAACAACTTTGACAGCTTGGTTTTAGAAGAATATGGAAAACCAAATGATACATATATATTTCTATGTTGACTTTTCTTCTTATTATACTTGGAATTCTTTACACTGCAAATGAATACCTATAAAAATATCAGCAACTATGATTGGTCGACTTTATATGATACAATCTTCGGAAGGTGAAAGATATTACTTATGAACTTTACTTAGTTATATAAAAGGTGCAACTAGCTTTGATAATCTGAAAACTATAAATAACTATACATGTAGTAGCTTTAAAAAAGCTTGCTCTTATCTAGGTCTTTTTTAGAATGATATTGAATAGGATGCCTATTTGCTTGAAGCAACTTTTATACAGACAGAACACCAACTACGACAGCTTTTTGCGACTATACTTTTATTTTGCCAACTTGTAAAACCTGAGTTATTATGGAATAATCATAAAATTGCATTATATAAGAATATTTTATATCAAGCTTATATACAATTACAAGATCTTAAAGATGCAAATGATATTCCTGCTATAATTGAACATGAAGTTCTTACTCAATTAAAAAATATATTTTTACTAAGTGAAAAATCTTTAAAAAATTTTTCTGATATGCCAATTCCCTTTATTACTTCAAATATTAATAATGATAAAGAAGAATTAAATTATTTAATACGTGAAGAGATATATTACGATATAACAGACTTAGAAGCTGAATTACAATGCAATATACCTTTGTTAAATAATGATCAACATGCAGTATTTGATATTATTATAAGAGCAATTGACAATAAAGAAGGAGAATGTTTTTTTATTGATAAACCAGGTAGTACAAAAACTTTTTTATATAACACTTTACTAGCAAGTGTTAGATCACATTGTCACATTGCTTTGGCAGTTTCACTTAATTTAATAAATTTTCTACATGTAATATTTCACAAAATAGCAAAAAAGCTCATTTAATCAGTATTGCAAAACTTACTATTTGAGATAAAGCCCCAATAACTAATAAATTTGTATTTGAAGCTCTTAATCAAACATTTTGTGATATTATGCAAGTAAATAAACTATTTGGTAAAAAAGTTATTGTTTTTGGTAATGATTTTCATCAAGTACTATTTGTTGTACCTTGTGGCTCTCATGCAAATATTGTTTTAGCTAGCTTATCCCACTCTTTATTATAGAGTAATATGAAAGTTATGAAATTAATAATTAAATATAAGACTTTAGCAAACTAATGATATTAATAAAAATCAAAAACAAAAAGAATTTGCTAAGTTCTTTTTACAAATTAGAGATAGAACATACCCAATTGTTGCAGATACAGAAAATAGAATAATACTCTCTTCTGATATAGTTGTAGCTAGTAGAATGTTATTAGATCTTATTAATAATGTTTATTCAAATTTTATTTAAAACTCTAATAATATCAATTATTTAACTGAAAGAGCTATACTAACTCCAAAAAATAGCAATATTAATATAATTTCTAGATTAGTTTCCTGGTCCAATTTCTATAGATTTATTTTATTTTTTTTTGGCAATCCTGCCTTTATTGTATAAGGAATGCGTAACCTAAATACATAAGTTTCTTGCTAAAGCTAAAAATCCTTCCTTCTCTTCAATAAAAGCTTACTTGACTGCTCAGAGGTGCCCAGATACGATCTGCTGCAGCAACTCTTTTCCTCCCTTCTGGTGACTCAACAGATTCAGCAAATAATAGAAATATTTATTTATATTTATCTAAATTTTTAAGATCTTTAAAAATCTCTGGTCTTCTTCCTAGTAAATTAAAGTTAAAAGCTAGTATACCTATAATGTTTTTACATAATTTAAATCTAGCAGAAGGACTTTGCAATAGAATTTGAGCTCTTTATAGCAAAGTAATTGTTGCTAAAATTATTACAAGATCTAATATTAGTAGCCATGTATCTATACCTCAAATTTTATTATTACCTTCTGATACTGAATTACTTTTTATTTTAACAAGGCACCAATTTCTATTATGCTTTACTTTTTCTATAACTATTAACAAAGCACAAGGTCAAACATTAAATCAAGTTGGTATCTATTTACCAAAACTAGTTTTTTTACATGGTCAATTATATATTGCTTTATTAAGAGTTACTTCTTATTATTCTATTAAAATTCTTATATGTAATGATCCAAATATAACTCTAAATTATTGTTATACAGATAATGTTGTATATTATGAAGTATTTTTAAATACACAGTAATACTTAAATATTTTCTTGCAATTTTGTAACTATATTAATCTAAAGATAAAATAAAATATTATATTTATATATAACTAGATTATTTATATATACTTATATAATAATTATAACTACCATATCCTATCATGAATAAGCGCTACACCCTCTACCCCAATTTTTAAATGTCAGATTAGCGGAAATCGCAATGAAGTCT